CTTCGCTACCACACCTCCAAGTCTGGCGATGAGCAGATCAGCCTCAAGGAGTACGTGGACCGCATGAAGGAGGGACAGAATGACATCTACTACATCACAGGTGAGAGCGTTGCAGCAGTGTCTTCTTCACCCTTCCTTGAGACTTTGCGCAAGAAGGGCATCGAGGTGCTGTACATGATTGACCCCATTGATGAGTATGCCACCCAGCAGCTCAAGGAGTTCGATGGCAACTTGGCAAGGTGAGTTGGTATAGACTGCAAGGACACCCTGAGCATTGCGACCAATAGGACACATCGACCTTTCGGATCTTCCAATGACACTCCATATATGGCATATTGGGGCGAGAAACCACACGTGAACGTTGGTATCTATTACAGTCCTATTTTCCTTCTTGAGTTGGTGTGGATTCTGTGCTCCAATGCACGCTACTGTTCTCCAATGCACCGAGGCAAGAAGTTGAAGAGCACCACCAAAGAAGGTCTCATCCTCAGCTGTACTTACAATCGGCTTTGCTTCGATTGTTTGGGGAAAGGCAAGAGTGCAGAGTGCAACACTGTTCGAATCTGTTCGATGTACGACTGGCCTTATTGGTAGGCTCCGAGGTGCTTGCCCGTTTCTTTGGTAAAAGCGTGCTTCTAGGGACGATTCAATCATCAGTAGACGACCCAACCCTGTGAAGGAGTTTGAAGGTGCTAGAAAAGCATCTTTCAGCACACCCATACTCTTCCGGCACCCCGTCATGGGTTCCTCTTAGCTGAGGGGAACAGGGGGTCAACGCATGTCAAAACCACACCATTGGCTCGGCAGAGATGTGAAGACTCTTCGGGAAGGGTGACTTCATGAATCGGGATCTTGGTGCACTGACACACCGAGTCCAATATCATTGAGTCCTTTAAGCCTATAAGGAATTCCCACTGATTGAACATACTTGGGATGACGGTTTTCTTGGGGCACCAGCACCAGCTGAGAGGACTCTTGGACCGTCTGTATAGCAACACAGGAGTTTAATACGGAGATGCTGTCTGAGTCGAGGTCGAGACAGTCTACAAATATGACAACCATGGTATGGGGGGTTGAAAGTAGTACATCATTAAAAGGACGGTCGGGATGGCACCTGAAGGCAATATATCGATCACTGTTATAAATATAATAGATTTGGTGAAACGTCTGATGAATGGCGTTGAATCATGAGACCTCCGCAGAACGTCTGGAGTCAGCCTTTTCAGTTGGTAAAGAATCGAGGTCTTGACATTGATGATGAGGACGAAAAGATGCCCGGTCGTTGAAGTGAATTCCTTTTTGGTGCTAAACTTACCGTACCTTGTTTGTTGATGATTGATTGCAATGGCCTTCATTGGGTGTTTTTGCCCAATGTGAGTTTTTTCTTTTTTTTTAAAATCTTTTTTACTGTGAGTACGTTGGGTTGCTTGAAGCAAATCGTAATCGTAAGGAAGAAGATTGAGGAGCTGAAGGCTGAGTTTGAGCCACTGACAAAGCTCATGAAGGAAGTCTTGGGAGACAAGGTGGAGAAGGTCATCGTTTCTTCCCGCATGGCCGACTCCCCTTGCGTTTTGACAACCTCTGAGTATGGCTGGTCAGCCAACATGGAGCGTATCATGAAGGCACAGGCTCTTCGTGACAACTCCATGACTTCATACATGGTCTCTAAGAAGACCATGGAAGTGAACCCCAAGCACTCCATCATGGCGGAGTTGAAGAAGAAGGCGGCCGCCGACAAGTCCGACAAGACTGTGAAGGACTTGATTTGGTTGCTCTTCGATACTTCTCTCCTCACCTCTGGTTTTAACCTGGATGAGCCCACCCAGTTCGCTGGCCGCATTCACCGCATGATCAAGCTTGGCCTGAGCATCGACGACGATGATGAGGGCTTGGGCGATGACGATGATTTGCCCCCTCTGGAGGAGATGGGGTTGAGATGGATTGAGACAAATGAGGGGAAGCTGCTTTCCTAGTCAATCACTATCCAGAACATTCCAGGCTAAGCTAGACTGTCTAGACTGTCTAGGTGCTGACGACACTGCCTGAGAGAATCCCATCGTTTTATACTATATAGTCTTTTGAAAGAGTGTTTGGGGGG